AGAGAGAGAGAGAGAGAAATAGAGAGGGTGACTGCTCGATTGAAATTATGACATTGTTCTTTTCTTCAAATTGCGATTCCTCCAACTCCAAAACGGAGGAAAAACGATCGTTCATCGGAAAGACATCCGCAGTCTTCATTTAGATCTAGATCTAGAATCTAAATCTAGGCTAGCCTCGAAACTAGATCAATGATTTATTTATAGATCTGTCTGTCTAGATCTAGACCTAGGCCATAGTCTAGAAGAACCTGGGTCTACCCTGAGCCCTGAGCCAAGAGGGTGCTGAAACTTTCTGAAACCACAAAAGAGTTCCCCTACTGGGTCTGTATACTTTGTGACTTTGTTCCCGGTTACCGGGTCTGTATACACTCCCATTTATTAATTCTTAATATAAGCAGCAGGATGATCTTACACTTTAGCACGTTAAATTCTTCAATTGAGGGGTTCCGAAACGAGCGACCACTATTAGATCTGGATCTAAATTCTCATCAAGATTATACTTTCAATGGCTTCCAAAATCATGATGAAAGCTGAAAGACCGAAAACCACTGTTATACCATCTGTTCATGACAAAATTACGGTATTTTGCGCATTTTTAGGCCCAGTTCAAAGTTTTGAAGGTCTGAGTCGGGGATTAGATCTAGATCTAGATCTAGATCTAGATTCTAGTAGACTTTGGCTGGGAATTTAACGTGCTAAAGTATAAGATCACCAGCAGCAAAAAAAAATTTCCTGACAACAAATGTGAAGTAGGCCTAGAAAATCTAGATATCTAGATCTAGATCTACTATAATCTAGATTTAGATCTAGATCTAGATCTAGATCTAGAATCTAGATCTAGATTTAGATCTAAAAATATAATTTAGATCTAATCTAGAGATCTAAATCTAATCTAGATAGATTTAGATCTAGATCTAGAGTCTATATCTAGATCTAGTCTACATATCTTGATCTAGATTCTAGGCTAGGTCCATAGGAGTAATAATAGGATAGAACAGAAGGATCAGGAGTAGGGGGTTTTCGTTCAGCTCTGATTTACTCTGAACAAAAAATGGCTTAGCCTACCTCTCTCTAGGCCCTAGAATCTAGATCTAGATAGATGTAGATCTAGATCTAATTGTTTTCATTCACGAATGTTTTTGCATAATGGCAGAAACAGGTACCTTTATTAATACTTAAACTTAAATTTAAATGACAGCATTACTGACATTAGTAGTTAGAGGCCCTTGTGCTATCTATGCTAACGGATATGCAATCAGTGTTTTGACGATTGTCAATGTTTTCCTACTCTTGTGTCTACCGACAATGATTCTAGATCTACGACTCCGTGCACATTAACTGTGAACAAGTGCCAGTCAGCGGCGTGAGCGAAAGTTTATGAAAATTAATGTGATGAATGATGAATGCCGTAAAATTTAATAATTAGGCCTACCTAGATCTATATCTAGATATATAGATCTATAAACGACTTGCCAGCAATATTTCAAAAGATATATGCATATATGTTACATTAACTTTAACCGAGATTTAGTCGGTCTGCCCATTGTAAGTCTAGCCTAGGCCAAAGCCATTCTTACTCTGTCCCTCTTTGCGAACATTGGAATACCGAATCAAAATAAATAAAAAGGGGAGATGACCCTCTTTTGCGTTTAGATCGGATAGGCGTCAAGAAAACAGTGCCTCATTCCCACTGATTCTCCCTTGCAACATTTAAAAGAAAACACACGCAATACACTAACCTCTCACGGTGCCAGTTATTTAATCATTCAATTTTCCCATCACACTCTAGATCTAATACTTATGTGTGCAATAGCAACAGTCCGACAAACGTGCAACTTATTCTGCCGCCATTAAAATAAATAGGACACTAACCTCGATTTGAATGTGAACTTGCGGCACTATCGTAAAGCGACCGGCCCTTTCACTTTTACAGCAATTTGAGGATTGTATCTACAAACTATTTATAAATTTTGTTATCCGAATTTTCATCTAACCTTTTATCATAGTGCATATCTAGAGCAACAAGGAAAATTACTATACTTAAACTTATTTAAGATTAAAATCTTACTATAAACTTCGTTCCAAAAAGTGTTCGCAGATTTAAGGAACCGCGGCACACACTCTGTGGAGTCCGCTCGATTAGAAACTCGCGGAACCACCGGATTTTTTTACTTTTTTTTTTTTAAATCTAGTTGGGTTTTCGGTTTAGAGAGGTTGTTCCGCTCCAACATTTATTTTCCTTCAAATTTTCACTGTTTTCAGATCAACCATAGTCACTTAACTCGACTCCAATGTATTTCAAAAACGATTTTGCATGGTCGTCTGAATTACCACCGTCTAATAAAATATAATTTAGGTAGGCCTATATAAAAAATGTTGGGGGTATTTTTAAATGTTATTTAGCCTACCCTGTGAAAAAAATCTTTTAAAATCAGATAGACGAAATAATAAATAGTTACAGCCAAAAGGTAACAGTTTGGTGTCCTTTCAACTTCAAAGCATGAAGAATTGCAAAATAATAATATGCGGGGTACCGGCAGACGTCACACTGTATGCAGACAGACTGTATATCGAAGTTATAGAAAAACAGTCTCCATAGATGAATTTAAACTGCCGCTAAGTTATTCTTTCGACATCAGATCATGAGGTCTACCATTTAACTAAAAGAACAAGTGGGAATATCCCATGTACATTTGGGACTAAAAGCTTCATGAAAACAAAAATTGGATTAGTTGAATGTAAAGAAAACAGAATGCAAGGTAACATCCAAAAAAGCAGCAAATCCTAGTTGTAATCCCATTTAGTAAAGGTGAAAAGATTAAACATCTGGTGCCAAATGTTCCACAGAAATAAAACGGAGAATTACAATGGCTAAGGTTGGTTTCAATAAAATGAGCCCAATCCTGATCGAAAATAGAAACATCTGAATGACCTTCGAAATGAAATGCTAATTATGGTCAACCCTTCTATATGGCTGTGAATACTGGACCATCACTAAAGACAGTGAAAATAAAATAGAAGCAACAGAAATATTGTTTCTTTGGAGACTGCTATGAGTATTGTGGAAGGAAAAGAAATCAAATGAGATATTATATAGTGCTTGATGAAGCCCACGTGGACGCTCAATGTTGAAAATAATCAGGAAACGACTAATGCAGTTTTTGGAACACCTGAATAGACATAAGCGTCTTGAACATCTAGCTCTCACTGGCAAAATTGAAGGCAAACGAGGCAGAACAACCTACTTAGGGAACCTAAACAAATGGGGGTAACAGATCGGAAGATCAGGGAAACGTAACCGTTGTTTTTTGGGGTTTTTTTTTAGAGCATCCGAGCAAGGGAATGAATGGAGAACCATGATCGCCGATGTCTGCCCCAGATCTGGCTCTGGATGATGATGATATATACATGCAAATGTACTATAAAGGATTATGCTTGTTTTTGTAAGGTTTAACAGCGCTTATGCAACTGCATAAGGTCAAATGAGCGCCATGTGGTGGGTATCAACAGAGAAGTCCAAACGGGGAATCGGGCTTACTTTGCTCACCTCTCTAACCTCAAAAGCTCACTGAGGAATTTACGTATACTCACGAAACGTTGCAGGGCACTTCTGCAGGCCAGCGACCAAATAAAAATTATTTTTTTAAATCTTGACCTAATAATGAAATTTTTGTTCTCTAATTTTGGGCCTTATATTAAAAACCACTCTTGGCATCCACCTTGGAGCACTAAAATAAATGACTTACAGTAGCCTTGCCCACAAAATACTAATTTTGAGACAGCGACATGCACCGCCATGCCCCCACATTTCAGTCATAAGCTTGTCGATTTCATCTCCCGGCTGTCCAGACGTCTTGCTCTCTTTATAAAACGTGCTCCACGTGAGTCTCGAAAAATTCTCACTCCGTCTCTTGAATCGACTTCTTTGGAGGACGTCATAGAATGATGTTGTGGAAATTATGTCCAACTTTTATTTTAAATGTTTTAGGTGTTATTGGCGTTGTAAATCCCATATTAAAAAACCCCCGAATTTAGGCTTACATCAAAGAAAAAGTGTTGAAACCTAAGTTTGAGGTGACTTTTATGACTGCGCATTTAGATCTAGATTCTGTTGGTTACTTAACTATTAGACCAGCATGCAAAAACCCAGAAAGATTAAACAGAACGATTTTTTTTGTAGTCTATCCCGTTAACCGCAGTCAGACGAAAGTGAACTACAGTCAAACTCGAATATAACAGAACAGACGGGACCGGCAGTTTTTCCCTGTTATAAACGAGTCCTGTTTTAACCGTTATCAAGGGAAACCACCAGAATCATAATATATGCACCTTATTCAGCTTACCATAATAAAATTAAATCGATTACCGCAGACTCTTTTCCAGAGGGCTGTTTTGCTGACACTGAGACGGATAATCGATCAGTGACCCCTGCACTATGGAGGGTATGTGTTTGAAAGTTTGTGTTTAGGCAAGCGATCATACAAACAAGCGAACTTGGTTGAGACACATTTTAATAATCTAATTTGACGGATCGAAAGCCAGTTCATGCGCTGCAAGATCGATTGTTATATCTGAGTCTGCGCAAATTGAACCCTGTTATTTACTGTCTTACAATTTATCTATCTCCATGGAGAGAGCAACGGAGCATCAATGGACATGTCCGGAGTGCAGGGATGTTGCTTCCTGAAACAATGAATGAATGAATGAATGAATGAATGAATGAATGAATGAATGAATGAATGAATGAATCTTACAAAAAACAATAACTGGGGATTTGATTTATTCAAGTAATAACAGAGGCTGTTATAAATGGACGGGACTGTAGCATAGCGGTAGGCCTACATTAGTCTAGCGACCTAGGCTATGTAGTTCAAACGGATCGAAAGCAAGTTCATGCGCTGCAAGATCGATTGTTATCTGAGTCTGTACCCCTTTCCATTTTTTGGAGCTCTTCCTCAGTATTATTAAAGGTATAATTAAGGGCACTCTCGAAATATATACTTTCACAAGAATTGTAAACATGTGAAATACAAAAGCGTAGAAATGTGAAAGTAATGAGTATAACATTTTCAGCGGGTATTTTAATTAAAAACAAGTCCTTCCCCTGGGTTGAAACAAAAATTTTCGAAATTAGAATAAGACGAAGAGGAAATCAGCCTCGTTTGAAAATCTCAAGACATAAAGCCGACGACGCCATCTTTGTCTCTTGTCGTCGAGTGCATGAGGTTGCCCACGCTTTGTGTTTTGTGCTTGACCAGTTAATTAAACTTTGTTTCAATCATGTCCAAATCTGGGGTAAACATGACCCCTGCCAGACAAGACAATAATCCGTACAAAAAAGACAACAGGACCACACCAAACCAAGGAGGTCCGAACTCAAGAGACGACAAACGTAATTCCGGTAATTTTTCAACACCCAACCACCATCATCAAGGAGGTCACAATCAGAACAGGGACAAGTCGGGAAACAGAAACGACAGTCGACAGAATCTGCCAACAAAACGAGAGCATGAAGAGAAACATGACGAAAAGGACAGTAAAGCAGAGGGCGGAGAGAAAAAATTCACAGGGCGATGCAGATTGTTTGTCGGAAACCTGACCCCAGACATCACGGAGAACGATTTCAAAAAATTGTTTGAACCCTTTGGCGAAATTTCAGAAGTCTATGTCAACACTGGCAGGGGATTTGGATTCATTCGATTGGTAAGTCCTTTCTTAGACTCAAGGGTAACGCTATCTTTGATGAATAATCTAGAATCTAATCTAGCCTAGATCTAGTTCAGACCTGTCTAAAGGTCTCTAACTCTAAGGCAAGGAGAGGAGTTCAGCAGCAGAGGAGATTCTCGAGAGAAAGGAAGTTTGAGAAGGGAGAGGCCCCCCCCCAAAAAAAAGGAATTCTGTTGAGTCTTGGATGGCTTTATTAGGATCTAGAATCTAGATCTAGATCTAGAAATCTAGATTTCTAGATCTAGAATCTAGATCTAGATTCTAGAAGAAAAGGGAGGAATTCCTATTCTTTAACTTTAGGTTTAGGAAGTGGCTATCCTACTATCCTCACCCGGGGGGAGAATAAAAATACAATCGACCTCTCACCCCGGGCCCCGGGTGAGACTTGCCAGCGTTGGCTATTCTCAGCCGGTGTGGAACAAGACCTGGCTGGATTGTACTTTACCGGACCACCCGTCTCGGCCCATGATTACTACGCACACCTAGCCTAACTACGCTAGGCACTTGGATAAAAATTTCAAAGCTTTCAAATTGCTTTAAAAACAATACCAATGCAAAGAGCTCAGTGACACGATTCCAACGCTACCTTAGTTATTGCTCTATGTTGAACCGTTTTTGAGATATTGCATTTTAAAGATCTTTTCGAGGGGATAACATCTATATAGAAAAAAAAGGCAATTTTTGTGATCGAAACAGCAAGGACAATAAGGGAAATGTAAGCTGCTTCAATATGCTGCTGCGTACATGCTAAAACCAAACATTTTCTGAAACCTTGTGATATTGAGGACAAAATAACAGTCAGACGATATTTTTAAAATATGTCGTGGTGGGTAATATTGGGTAATATTATGTAACACTGTGTTGTGTAACGTGACCGCATCGTCCTGCGGTCAATATATTTTGCCATAACTTTCTTATAAATTAAGCTACATCAATAATTGAGGTATCATTTTGAAGGTCTTTTTAAGGCCTTTCTTTTGGAACATCTACATATCAAATATCAGTAGAATTAACAAAAAACTGATTAAAAAATATAATATATTTTAACAAAACAGCTGGTCGCCTAAAATAAGATGAGCATAGAAGTTTTTAAAGTTAACATTTGTGTCTACAGCTGCTGCAAACTAGTGTTTTTTAGTCTACCTTAATTCTTGATAATACTGTTTTTTAAATTCATTTTGCATGTTATTGTTAGAATGTTTCTTTCATGTTTTAATTTGTCATGTAAATGATCAATTACTCTGTCTTTATCTTTGATTTCTCTTTTACATCTTTAACTCATGAGATTGCCCTGTAAGTTAAACAATAGTCTCTTCTAATTTTATTACTTCAGTTTGTTCAGCAAGTTTTTCATTATATTTTTATTGTGTTTATTTAAATGTTCAACTTCTTCAAAGACAATTAGTTGTGAAATATGACATGTTTTTTGAAGCACGCAATTGTGTCACAATACTTATTTATTCTTTCTTTATTTCTGGCAATTGTTTAGTTCACCCAGTCTGCCAACTTGATATTGTTAAATTAATGTCAATTTTTTTTTTCTTGTCTGCAACAAATGCTTTCTTAAGTGCTCAATTTTTTTGCAACTTGTTCAAACAAGTTTTTCTGTGAATTCGACCAACTCCGCAAGCATTTCTGGATTTTAATTAAAGTCAGGATTTATTCTGGTGAGCTGTCAATAAATCCAATGGAACAGTGGCAGGTTGTGATCAGGGGCTGTGGAAAGAAAAAAAAAAGCAAAGCAATGAATTCATCAATGAAGTAAATAAATTCATTTGTGAGCAGTGGATGGAAATTTGACATTTTCACACTACAACTCTAGTAAAGGGAGAGTGTAGATGACTAGACAAGAGAAAAAACATCTTCTAATAAACATGTATCTTAAAACAAACTGGACAAAGTACATGAAAATTTAAAGAGATATTTAAATAACAAGCACACACAAAAACAATTAAGAAGAAAAAATATTTAAAGACAATATAAGCACACAAAAGAAGTAAAAACTTGCGTGAAATCGATGGTCTAACAGTGACAGTAACACAGAAACAAAACAAGGCCAAGGCTGTTACATTTCCCTCCCCCCACCCAAGACTCCTTACTGATTGTTACATGGTGCAAATTCATAAAAATTATACAACAGTGATACATATTACATTCCAAAATTTAAAATGAATCATATCTTCTACTATAAAACATTCTTCAATGCCGTTTAAGAGGTAATAAACGCCAACAATACACGTTAGCGTGGGTTAAGTTCGCTTTCCGCAATGGCCGCCATGACCTCCCGGTTCACGCTCAGCAGCGCGATCGATAATAGGTCATGCCCATTCATGGAGAGTGACCTATTTAAATTAGGGCTCACACGCTTATGCCTCAACGTACAACATTGAAATTAACAAATAAAAGAGATAAAAGGTTGAAGAAAAGACTGTGAGGAATACCTAAAAAAAAAAAGATATACTCTTTAAATATAAAGGCTTGAACTTACCTTATTTTTAACTCCTTGTAACTCCGAACACACACAACCGATCCCGAAGTGGAAAACGCCATAATACGCGCCTTTCTTTCCTCTTTAATTTGATAGGCGGAAGTAATCCATAAATTGAAAAGAACACTATAAACGAAACAAAACAAATAGGTACCCCCCTCACGGGGCCCTATTTCTGACACAAAACGCGGCGGCCGCAGGTGAACGAAAATCTCGGGCCGCGCGGGCCGATATCCAAGTGCCTAACTACGCTCTCATAGTCATAGTAGTACTCTGCGTGCGGACAAAAGGTAGTTCCGACTTCGCGCACGCACAGCGCAAGGCAGCGGCGACTGGCGAGGCAAGGTGAGGGAGAGTTGGTGGTTGAGAGTGGGCGGGGGATTTAACTTTGGTGGACCACCGTGTATCATACCAACAGTGGGGAGGGGGGGGGGGGTTCAGGGAGGCTTGCCCCCCTGGAAACTATAATAAAGAAAACACACAAAAATGCGAAACAATACCATGAGCGGACAGATTGAAGAATACCGGACCACTCGTACATTATAGCGCGAGAATGTGGGGCGGGTGGTTGAGGTGGAGGAGTGGAGAGGGAGGGGGGGGGGGGGTTCAGGGGGGTCTCCCCCCTTACAAAATATTAATGAATAGATCTACCGGTCTGAGATTCTCCATTGAGAGATATTAAAAACGGGAAAATTATGTATTCCTAAGGTTGAGACATAGGCAAAGTCAGTCCGCTGGTCCGGTATTCTTCAATCTTACCTTTAAAGACACTCACACACACTTAAACAATAACATGAGCGAACAATCGGGGTAGATACTCGCCAAGTCGCGAGCAGGGCCGAGGGGGTTGCAATTATGCAAATGAGCTCTCGTGCGTATCTCTAGCCCTCCATTGTACTTTGCCGGACCAGGAGTAGGCCAGGCCAGCAGAGTCGCGAGCAAATAAGAATAGTAGACCACGTGATTAGATTGACCAATTAGCCTCAAGGTGTCAGGGTCATGGGTCAAAGGGCACGGTCGGGATGACTAGAAAACCCGCTGAGACAAGAGACGTCAGTTGATTGCTGGCAATTGAAGAGTGAGGACGTAGAAAACTGAGAAGGAGAGTGACAGTGAGTAGGGGAGCTGGGCAACGAAGAATAGCGGGCCACAAGGGACCAGGGGCGCCATAGCGAAAGTAGTTCCGACCGGTGGTCCGGTAAAGTACAATCTTACTCAAGACCTGTTTTTCCTAATTTTGGAATCGAATTGTATACAGACCCGGTAACCGGGAACAAAGTAGCAATGACAATGAAAAATTAAATTTTCATCCAAATTGCTTAAAAATGGGCTTAAATGAAAATAGAGTAAATTCTAAGAACTATGGTTTTTAAATTTTAAAAATCCATTGATAAATAAAAAAGTTATTGGGATTTTTGTTTGCAAAATGTTGGAGGACCTTCATATATATATAGGAAAAAATCGCCAAAATGTGGGACATGTTTTGATGTATTTTGAGGAAAAACTGTTCATAAGTCAGTAATGAATTGGAGCATGAATGAAACTTGGCATCTCCATGTGATTTTTAGTGCCGAATCTAGTTCTGCTATCACTTTTTCGGTGTCTTTGTCACTTTGGATCTTAACCCTGGACGGAAGCGCGTAGGCCCTTTATAAAGGGTGTGAGCCGGGCTACCCGGGAAGCGCGCACGCCCTATATATAGGGCTGACCTACTTCGACCGGGAAGCGGGCAGGCCCTATATAAAGGGCATAGATGCTGACCCTTTTCAATGGAAAATTCCAGTGTTCCTTATATGGAAAATGACGTAGTCAATTACAGGCCAAAGTTATAAATAGTGACCAATGACTTTGCAAGTTATCTTGACCTCGTAGAGCGTCTCTTGGCCGAGATATCGATCGATAAAGTGACGCGGTACCGCTGAGCGACTACACGCTATGTGTTATCACTTGTTTCGCCGTGCTGATGTACTAATTGTTGAGTCTATCGCGTTCTCGGCATTGTTTGTATTTATTTGATCGCTGATCATTTTTGAATGGCTCATTCTATCAGCTTAAAGAAAATATATGCTTCTATATGCTTTTATCATCCGTTGAGCCGTAAATGGTCATTTTTCAGTAGCAGGTATACATTTTGGGTATCTCAGCTGTTTCCCCCCCGGCAAACCCCCATGTTTACAACTGATCGGCCGTGGCGGCGGGGCATTTTTGGCGGGTTACTTCCGGTGAAACGCTGAGCGCTTCTAGGGTTAAAGACTGATATTTGCGTGAAATTTGTTGAATTGCGTGACATCGTTTTTACAGCGACGCGATCACCCCTTCTAAAACTCAGTAAAGCGCTATCGGGAAAACCCGCGATGTAGTCATCGGTGACCCATTTGGTTATAGGCAGCCAATCACATGCCGCGTAGCGATCACGCGCCTCTTGTGTGCCGGCACCTCGCGTTTGGAATGCGCGATCAAGTTTCTAGATCTAGTGTTTTATCAATGG